AGGCTAAGGGTGAGGTGCAAAGGGTGGTGGCAGTGTCAGAGAATGAGGTATAGATGGGAGATGTTAGGAAATTAGAATCAATAGGACTTGGCAACAGATTGGATTTGGGGGGAAGGGAGTGGAGAATAGCAGAGGTGACACATCTGTTGCAAACATGGGTGACTAGGAGAGTGGTGGCATCCTCAAAAGTAATAGGAAATTTAAAAAGAGGAAAGGATTGGGGGGTGAGAATAATGAGTTTAGTTTCAGACATGTTATATCAGACAATTATTAAGCATCTGCTCCGTCAGATACTGAACTAAGCACGAAGAGGCAAAAGACAATCCCTGCCCTCAAGGAACTTAAAGTCCAGTGTGGGAAACAACATGCAAACATATATATGCAAAGCAAGCTGTATACAGGATTAATAGGAAATAATTAACAGAAAAGGCACTAGAATTAGGAGTTGGGAAAAGCTTTCTGTTAAGGTAGGACTTAAAAGAAGCCAGAGTGGTTAGGTAAAATTTAGAATCATTAACATAGAGATGATATTTAAATCCTTGGGAGCTGATGAGGTCACCAAGTGAAGTAGTATAGATGGAAAAGAGAAGAGGGCCCAGGACAGAATCCTGAGGGACCCCTATGAGTAGAGAATGTAATCTGGAAGAGGACCCAGAGAAAGCAGTCAGGAGAACCAGGAGAGAGTGATGTCCAGAAAACAGAGAGAGAAGAGTATTAAGGAAGAGTAATAGTGTCGGAGGCTGCATAGAGATCAAAAGAGAATGAGAATTGAGAAAAGACCATTAGATTTGGCAACTAAGAGGTCATTAGTAACTTTAGAGTGAGCAGTTTTGGTGGAATGTTCTATTTTTTGGAGGAGAAAGGATGGAATGGGATGGCTTGAACAAGTACTGAGAACCTCAGAAAAACATCTTGGGTACCAGTTCAACTAGAATTCCTGGAAGACTTGAAGTAGGAGGGGTTTTTTAAAAGTTGTAAGTAAAATGAGAGTGCTAGAAAACTAGGAAAGCAATCAGAACTATGGAAGAAGGAACTGGGTAGGGAATTAACAGGTTGCCACAAGAAGTGCAAAACCTTGCCCCAAGCAACAAACTCCCTGAAAATTAGAATGGGCCAAACGTAAGCCAACAAGTTCATGAGGCAATAACAAATATTAAAGTCAAAGACCAGGAGAAAGTAGAAAAATAGCTAAGGTATTTCGTTATAAAAATAGCTGATCTGGAAAATGGATTGAGGAGAAAAAAAATTGAAGAATCATCAAAACACCTGAAATCTATGACCAGAGAAAAAGCCTACGCATCATATTTCAGGAAATCTCAAAAGAAAACTACTCTGATCTTTTAGAACCAGATGGCAAAGAGGAAATAGAATCCATTAGTCATCTCGAAGAAACCTTAAGTGAACACTTCCAGGAACATTAGAACCAAAATCCACTTCTCCTAGGTCATAGAAAAAAAATACTGCCATCATCCATGGAGGGTTCACAGGCAGGGTCACACTGCATTTTTTAGCAGTCACCACAGTGAATGAAGGAGTAGAAGCTTGGAATGCAGTATTCCGAAGGCAAAGGATATATGTGCTTATAGCCAAGAATAACTTATTCAGCAAAACTGAACATAATCCTACAAGGGAAAAAATTGACCGTTCATGAACTAGAGGTTTTCCAAATATTCTTGATGAAAATTCCAGAGCTATGTAGAAACTTTGACGTTAAAACACAAGAGTTAAGAGAAACATAAAAATGAACAACAGGGACTGAACAGCTACAAAATTGTTATTTTCAAGCATGGGGAGATGATATGTGTCCTCTCTGAATCCTGTCATCCCCAGGAGTCGTAGATTGAGTTTCATTAGACAGAGCCTGGGAATGGAATGATTCTATTATATCTTGATGACGTAAAGGGAGGAGTGGGAAGAGAGGCAAGAGGAAAGGAAAGGCAAGAAAGGCTAGAGAAGATTGTCTCACATAATCAAGGTATATATCTATATCAATAAGAAGAGGATGAGGAAGAGTGACTGATCCTTGAACTTTACTTTCATCTGAACTGGTCAAAGGAAAGGAGAAAAAACACAAAGAGTTGGGTATAGAAATATATTTTGTTCAGCTGGAAAACAAGGAGGGAAAGGGGTGAAAGAAGGAAGAATTGGAGGAAGGAAAATTAAAGGAGAAATTTATCCTAAGATAAACAAACTAGGGATTTACAAAAATGCAGCTTTTTGAAGTGGCAAAGAATGGAAATCTGACAGGTACTCATAAATTGGAAAATGGTTGAAAAAGTTATATAAATGTGATGGAATACTATTGTGTTGTTAAGAAATGATGGGAGGAATAATTTCAGAGAACCTGGGAACACTTGTATGAATAGATGCAGAATGTAGTGAATAGAATCAGGAGAGCATTCTATAAGTGACAGCAATATAATAAAGACAAACAAGTTTGAAAGAATTAGGACCTCTGATCAGTGTATTGACCAGCCATGATTCCAGAGGACTACTGATAAGACATGCTAGCCACCTCTTGATAAGAGAAGTGAAGGACTCAGTACAGAATGAGATGTGGAGTTTTTATGGACATATCCAATTCAGGAATCTATTTTGGTTGACTTTAAGTGTTTGAATAGAATTTTTATTAATGGTCTTAGTTGGGGTGTGGTGGGGTGAGAGAGAGTGAGTGGATTTTTGCTGATGGAAAAAATAATTTAAAATATAATAAAGTTATCAAAGAAAACATTAACTGCTGACTCATTTGTCTGCTTTCCTGTCTACGTAATATTTTCATGAGAATGTGTGTACGTATGTGTATATACACATAAATCTATATAGCATTTTTGTTGAGGAAATTTAGAGGTAGGAGGGAGGCATTCAGAAGTGATATTCTTCTACATTTTTAGAATCACACAATTGACTGAAAAGTTAAAAAAAAAAGTCAGATCCTACTGTGTTGTGTGTGTGTATATGTTTTTAAGTTTTTCATTTGGAAGACCGAAATACCACTTCACTTTGCATTTAAGATGTTTTTTTACAAGATTAATTGAAAAATATAAAATACAATTTTGCTTTACTCTCTGCTCATTTATAAAAGTTCGTAAAAGATCTTTATCACTGTTGTGGAAATCCACTACAAGTTTGACTGATGGGGAAATTTCTGTAGTTTGTGAGCTCTTCCCTATGTGCCTCCTTTTGATAGATGACCATCTTGTGATTTTATCAAGCCCCAGTGATAGCCTCCTAAATGAAATCACTAATCATTCAGAAGAATTTAGCATAACTCTTCACCTTTGAAAAAACAAGTGAATGAAGAATACCAGTTGTCTAGACTAGGACATGCACTTGGATGGGCACATCAGTTTATGTGTTTTAGATGGGTAGTACAAGTAATTGATGAATTGACCTAGAATTTTACTGGAAATTGGGGGATGTGGGCTAGATAGCCTTTCAGAGCTCTTTTATTCCAAGTTTGTCCCTGGAAAACCAAAGCTTGTCTGATGTGTAACTCTAAGTCATGGGATGGTATATACCTATACTCTTCAAAAAATTCAGTTGAAAAACACTTGTACAATAGTGGAGAGGCACATTTTGGATGTCACTTCCTGCAGGCTATTGTAAACAAGGAGTTATGAAGAATTCAGGTAGCCACTTCTTGAGCAAGATGAATTACCTTCTGATCCTTACTTCTCGGTATGAAGACAAATTCACCTCCATGCTGTAGGGTACTTTATTTTTCTTTGTCACCAGTGTCATTCCACCCACTGGTGCTACCATGAGTCAGCTTTACCAGTAACATCACAAAGAAGATTTACAGCAACAAAAGTGTCTATGGTCTCTGAAGCTGCCTGTTGCTCTGGGGAGGTGAGGAGGATGGAATGGAGAGGGGTGCCTTCTCTCAAAAGAGTGTGAGGTCCCCCTAGCTCTTCCCTTCTCACACCCAATCTACTCTGGGCTTTTCAGTTCCTTCCCCCTGCTGAAAGACAAATGCTACCACCATCCTTACCAGGACCTGCAATTTGCAGTCTTTTGAGTCTCTCTTTACCTCAGCCCATTCTGATTAGGGCTGGGGACGCAAAGGTAGAGGAGACATGACCTCTCCCCCATGTCTATTTTCTTTTTTTCTCCCTTAAACTTAAGCCTTTTTCTTCTCTTTAACACCCCTATGTCCCAATCTCTTTTATTTTATTATTGCTTTTTTTTTTCCTAGGCGATCTGCAATTGCCCAGGGTCAAACAGCTAATAAGCATCTAGTGTCTGAGGCTGTATTTGAACTCAGGTCCTCCTGACTCCAGAATCGATGCTCTATCTATTGAGTCACCTAGCTGCCCCTCCCTTGTCAATTCCCTTTTTCTTTTTGTCTTACTTGATGATAGTTTTGGTTTCTGCTCCTTCCCAGACTCCCCATGGAACTTGGGTTTTCATAATTTTTCCCTTCTCCTCTGCTTCCATCATCTTTACTCCCACAGATTATGGGAGGGTGGGGGTTAGGCAGAGTTGGCTAGGGGTGGAGATCAGTAAAGAAACTACTAACTCTTTAAAAAAGGGGTAGAAAATGTGCTTAACAATGTTCAGTTGAAAAAACGGCCTAGATTTTTTGCAGGAGTCATGCCCATGTGCTCCATTGGTAACTTCATAGTGTATGTAAGAAGAACTCAAGACAGATCTTCAGAATGTAGGGCAGATCCCCTCTGATTCACTTTTGGAATTTAGTAATATTGAACATTTTATTTTGGATGATAATACATAGTTTGTGTTTCTTATTTTGAAAAACATTCATATTTCTCCACTTGTCAGGAAATGGCTCTTAATTTACGTCATTGTGTTGTCGTATTCATTTTACTATATAATTGTATAACTACTAACCACTTTGAAAATGTAACTGAAATGTCTTCTAAGACTGAGTTTTTTTAGAATAAAAATGTACCTTAATGGTCATCTAGTCTAACCTCACCCTGATTCCTGAACAACTTTTTCCCCCCTTTTTCCTATCTTCATGTTTGTTTCTTTATTAGAAGATATCCCAAGTCCACCCCCAGTCGTCATGGTGCCAGTTCCTGTACCAGTGTTTGTGCCTGTACCACTGCATCTTTATACACAATATGCACCAGTCCCATTTGGACTTCCAATACCAGTGAGTGATTATTCTAATTTAACTAAGAGTTAGTTTATGGTTTCCAGGTAGTATATAATTTTTCATATCAAATACTAGACTTATTGGTAAAAGTGGGAAAACAGCCTTTTTTATAATATACATGATGATGAGTCCTAATCATAATGATAGCTGATATTTAGCATGTTATATGGTTTACAAAGTGCTATATATACAGGTCTCATTTGATCCTCACGGTAATCCTGTGAGGTAGAGATATATATATTTTCACATTATTTAGTAATGAGTGCATATTTGTCATCTCATGTAATCATGAAGATAGATATTAGAGGTTGTAAGAGAATATTAATATTTGTGTTCAGAAAACAATACTGGAAAATACAAACAGATATAGTCACCTTTTACTTAGGTGATCCAAAACTTAATGAAATAAACTGATAGGCAGCCTTTACTTTTTAATAATAATTTTAAAATGCCTTGCATATGCTACTGTCCTGTGTTTCTTTTAAAGCAATTCAACATTATCATTTGATCTCAAAATATCCCTGTGGGTAGATTGTTATCTTCTCATCACAAAGGAGATCCGTTTATAAAAAACATACTTGCAATAGAAAAATCATTATCTAAACAACTGTCTAATAACAAAATTGGAGTTCTATTCTGTAACTCTTAAGTATTTTCTTAGATGCCGGTCCCCATGCTTATTCCTACAACAGTGGACAATGCAAATAAGGTCAACGAAACCATCCAAGACATTAAGGAAAATATGTCTCCTCATCCATTTGAGGCTGACCTTCTTCAGATGGCAGAAATAATTGCGGAAGATGAAGAGAAAGAAAAAACACTATCTCATGGAGGTTGGTATTGTCTTAAGTTAAAAAAAAATACTGTGCGACTTTAATAATAATAGACAACGGTGATAATTTTTTAAAATTTCCATAAATAGGTCTTGTTTTGGGTTTGTGGTGACTTTTAAGCCTTAAGCCTCTTTGAAAATAATTAAAAAACTTTTTTTAGTATTCCTGAGTTATCCACAGTCTATAGTCTTTATCTAGAGAAACATAATCTTAAATTTTTTTTAAGGTTCATTGTCATCTGGTACTTTTTTCCTAACCAAAAGCCATCGTGATTATTTGTGTAATTTTCTTCTATGTTTCATCTTTTTTTCTCTTGATATATATATTTACTGTAGTCAGGTTATTTGAAAATCCATAGATTGTAGACACTGAAAATATGAAAAGACCTCAGAATTTATCTAGAGCAACCTTTACTTGAGTAGGAATTCTTCCCCTCCATCACACCACACACACTCTACTACCATATCAATCAATGGTCATTAAATATTCCATCAATCTATTAATTAACAAACATTTACCAGGCGCTTACTATATGCCAGGCATTTTGAAGTACAAAAACAGAAATCTTTGCCATCAAAGAGCCCATATTCCATCAAGGAAAATTGCATATATACATGCATATAAGTTGAAAAACACATATGTTTATATATACATGTATATAAACACAGGTATGCCTATACATACACAGAGAGTGAATGCAAAATGATTTGGAGGGGGTTGGCACTAACAGCTGGAGGGTGTGTGGTTCAGGTCAAGAAAGGCCTCATATAGATGGTGGCCCAGAAGTTGATCTTCAAAGGGGCCTAAGTTCTGCTGTGTATTATGTCCTCTTCACTTAGCCTGTATGTCTTCTGAGCCAACTTGATTCTCTAGCATATGATTTTTTTTTTTTTAAAGTAAAATGTAGTTTGGGGTGTACATGTATACCATCGTGGAATAGTTAATTCTTAACTTTAGTGACTCAAAAAAATATATGAAGATATACTGAAATTCTTTCTAAACTGGTTCATAAACCTGCCATAGCATATCATTTGGGATGAGAAAAAGAAATTATGTGTGTTTATGTAAGTGAGCTTAATTTCCTGATCATTATAAATTGTTTCTTTTTTCTTGAGGGTCTCAAACATCTGAGCATGAGCTCTTTCTTGACACCAAGATATTTGAGAAAGGTTTGTACTTTTAAATACATTCTGATTTCTCCCAGTCCAATTTTTCTAGTCAGTAGCAAGATACTGTACTATATGTCTTGCTTGGTTTTGTTTTGGAAATTTTCTTTTGTCTGTGTTAAAATTTCAGATCAAGGAAGCACATATAGTGGTGATCTTGAATCAGAAGCAGTGTCTACCCCACATAGTTGGGAGGAAGAACTTAATCATTATGCCTTAAGGTCAAATACCACACAGGAGTTGGATCTAGAACCGAAGCAGTCACCAAAAGTGGATACAGAACAAGATCTAGAGGCAGATTTTCCATCAGGTTTGTGCAGAACTGTAAAATTATCTTTCTTAGATGAGAACAAATTTCAGTTGATATTTATCAGGCAGTCAGAAGGTAGTAGGAATAATTACTTAGGTCATAATGTTGAAAATATGTGATTGCTGCCTTTGCAGAACTGTTCCTATTTTAATAGTCCATTTCATTTTTATCAGCTTCTGTTTACATATTTTGCTAGTTTCAGTGAAGGATTTTTAAAATTCACATTCTAAAGGCTGCCATACTTCATTTATCTTAATTGTCTGAGAAAGTTTTTCCTTCATAAACTTAAAGAATAAAGCAATGTATAGGAATCTTCCTGGTACTTTGATTTTTTTTTTGTCATTTAATTCACTTTGTAATTTTCTTTTGAATATAGAAACCTTTGATCCCCTCAGTAAGGGAATGGGAATTCAGTCTCGCTCACGACCAAGACGACGACACAGAGATGGCTTTCCACAACCCAAACGAAGAGTAAGCAGCAACTGTTTCATTGGGGTCTTGATAAGTTTCTCTGATACTCTTTTTCTTCATTTACTCAACAGACATTTATTGAAAGCCTCTATGCATCAGGCATTTTTCTAGTTGCTATGTAGATCAGTAGTGTCATACTCAAAAATGGTAGCCACTTACCCATAGATAAAGATCTCTGTGGACCACATATTGACTTAGTTTGAAAATGTAATGCTATCTGTATTTTACTGTATTTTCATTTTGTTAAATATCTCCCAATTACATTTTAATCTGGTTCAGACTTCTTTCAAGAGTGTTGTGGACCACATGCATGTTTAATACCTCTGGTGCAGATAATTTTAATTGCTTTATGGTTTTTTGTAGCATCATTTTCTGAACACATTTTTACTTACAATAAAAACAATCTTGATTCAAAGGCAATTTTCTATGGAAAACGTTTAGAAGGAAAAGTCTTCTATTCATAAGTTTTCTTTACCCCTCAAGTAATTAAAAAACCATAGTCTCAAATACACCTCTTTTAATGAAAAATACATAAGTAACTTGCTTTTCCAACCAAAAGGAAATAGATGTGTTGGAATTTGAGAACTTAACAATTATTAGCTTTCAGACATGTATAAAGAGTAGAACATTTAACTGCTCCAGTGATCTGTTCAATTCAGCAAATCTTTACTAAACATTTATACTATGTTTGAATGTAAGAATCATTGTGTGCTACTTTACTGAGGAGACAAAGGTGAAGAACATCACTTCTGCCCTCTAAGAGCTTAAATATTTGATTTTAGTAGGGTTCAAGAGATCTATCTAAATAAATTTTTCAATGTAGAAACACCATAAGGGGAAAGGAGAAAGTGCTGCAGGAAATAGGAGTAGGGAGAACTCATTTGGCAAAAGTGGGTGAGGAAAGGTGAGATGGTAGGAAACTCCATTCACGAGGTGATGCCTGAGTTGGATCTTGAAGGAAGTTAAAGATTTCAGCAGGCAGCATTCAGGATGGAATAGTATGTTCTTAGCAAAGAAAACTGCATGGCCGGTGGGTTGTCTGTCTTCAGTAGAATCTAAGCTTCTTGAAGAGAAGACCTTTTCATTGTTATCTTTGCATCTCAATTCTCAAACACAGTGTGAAGCTCATAGTAGGTACTTAAGTTAATGCTTGTTGATTAAATGGAGTTGGAAGAGGGCAGGACGAGTTTGGAGATCAAGTAATAGTCTTTTGTGCCAAGAATGTGTGATGAGAAATAGAGTGAAATAAAGTTGGAAAAGTAGTCAAATTGTGGGGAAACTTAAATGCTAAGGAATTTGTGTTTTTACCCTATAGAGAGTTAAACCAGTGAAAGCGTTTGAGTAGGAAAATGCCGTGGTCAGACCTGTGCATTAGGAAGAGTAATTGGCAGCTATTGGATAAATTGGAGATCCCAGCAGCAGGGATAACTACTAAAATAAACAAGGTCAGAAGTAATGATGTCTTAAAATAGGAGAGAAGAGGTTGGACACAAGATTCTCCTGAAATGGTATCAAAAGAATTTGACAGCTGAGTGAAATAGAATATGAGGAAAAGTCAAAGATAACTCCAAAGTTTGAGCCAATATTACTGGGAACATATTGATAGAGCAACAGATAAGAGATGTATACATCAATAGAAGTCATGTGAAGTTTGTTGCCTTTACATTGAAACCTTTCCAGTATTATAGATGTTAGCATAAATATGCTAAGATTTATTTGCTGTTTTGTCTGGATGACCTATAAGATCTCTATCAACACTAACTCTCTGCTTCTTGCACTCACTTGTGACTTTATTGTACTAAAACTCCACATGTTTCATCACCACTAAGTTTGAAACCCTGACTAATTTATAGAGCCATTAAGACGTACTACAAAAGGGGTAAGGAAAGCTTATCTTTCCATTGCCTAAACTTCTTCTTGCTTCCATGAGAAGTAAGAAAGAAGGTATCCTTTCTTTAAAGCAAAGTTGGTTGAAAACAACCTTGTTTATTATGTTTCATTCTTTTACTTCATTAGGAGGTAAAAATGGAATATGTCTTGTTTTCTTGTCAGTTCATTGTTAATCTTAGCAATGTTAATATCAATATATTAAGTCATTTCTTTCTAAGAAGAGGACCCAAAGCTAAAAATTATATCCTGTATATTTGTAGGGAAGGAAGAAGTCTATAGTAGCTGCAGAGCCCAAGAATTTTGTTCAAGGAGCAATTCAAGGTGGTTCAGTACCCCCAATGACACTGAAATACATGTATGGAGTAAATGCCTGGAAGAATTGGGTTAAGTGGAAAAATGCCAAGGAAGAACAGGGGGAGCAGAAATTTGGAGGTAAACATACTAGACTTCCCTTGATAAAGGTGAGCGGCTGGGGGTGGAGGTAGTTTAAAAAGGGTCTCAGGTCTATTCAGTTAAAATAACTATTGGTGCAGTAAACTAGGTGTAAAGATTTCCAAGTCTCTAATCTGGGTGTGAAGTTTTTTACCCTTTCATTTAAGTTTTTCATCTTTCCTTGTCAGGTGTTGAACCTGTTCCATGCTCTGATTCTTTGGGAAGTGCCCCAGATCATTCACTCTCTCAAGAAACCTCTGAGCCCAGCTGCAGAGGTATAACTAATTTACAAAACTTATTCTCTTTTCATCTTCTCACTGTACTTAGAAATATAAATGTCATCGTACATTTGTTTGAGTTAATAGATTATGAAAAGGGAACATTTTATTGAAGGAGCCTTTTATTGAAAGGACACTAGTTTTTGAGTCAAGACCTAGGTTTTGTCAACCTTACCTCTTACTAATTGTTTGATATTGGACAAATAATTTTGTATCTCTGACTTTCTATTTTCTTGTTTGTAAAATGAAAGGTGGTACTTGTACTACCTATTTACAGGTTTGTGAATACCAAAGGAGATAATAATATGAAAATATATTACAACTACAAATCATTGTGGTAATCTAATTAGCTATTGAGATTATCAAATATACAAATGAATTTCTGATCTCATCAATTCAAGAGTTCTCACCAGCTGTGCAGATTACAGTCCCTCCATGCCTGCCTATCCTATGCAACTGTTGTTTATGTCTTCCTGAAATTTTGCATCAGGAAGTCCATCTGACATGCTGGAAGTCTTCCTCATTTCTTCCCAACATCACAAGGGTACTTTCCAGTGTAGCACTCTGCCCATCCACCTGCCATCCCTTTGTCTCATCACCTGACTAGCCTATCTTCTCTTCCTTCTTTTGTTTCTGTTCCTTAGAGTGCCTCATTGATTATATATTGCAGCCTGCTTATACCCACCATATGCCTCTCCATTGACCTCTGAGCAATATTCATTCTTAGTTCTTCAAAGAGAGTTGGTTCCATGTCTTACTGTCATTTAATAATGTTAGTGTGTTATTATAGTATTAGTTGTTATTAAATTAGTATTGAAAAGATGCATCTTTGCTTTCGTGGAAAGCTTAGAGGTCAGTAAATATGCTTTGTCCTTTCTTGAAAGAAATTAAGTGTGCTCTCTTCCTTCAACTCTGGGCCCAAACTGCTATTCTGTGCTTTCTGTGCCATACAGAATACAAGATCCCAGTATGTTGTTAATTATGAAAAAGTGTTTGATTTGGTAGAACAAATCCTAACTTAGAGGCATTTTTACAATGTATATCCCATCTGTGCATCAAGATGATTCCAGATTGTTTGGATCTATGACAACAGCTGTGACAACAGAAATAACCCTATTCCAAAGAATCAGACTAGGCATAAAATAAGGAAAAATATACTTGTCAAAGATATTCAAGGTTTTTGTGAGGGAAGAGATACAGTGCAAAATCTGTGGTCGAAAAGGGATGCCCTGTGATTGGTAAGGTCTGCTAGATGCTCTTCTATCACATCCCATTTCATTTCATAGTCCTCTGAAAGAGATCTGTAATCACTCCAAGGAGCTTGTGCTATCCGTCCATACAGAAAACACGAAGTAGGTGAAGAATATCTATTTCCCCAGTTTCAACTTTGAGATTATTATTATGTTAAATTACTGAACAAATTGCCTCAAACATTGCTATTGGGTAGGTAAATCAGTATCTCACATGCAGACTTTTGAATGAATGGTTTTATGATGTGGTTCTGTTTAGCCTCATGTGAGGACAAGGAATTTGGGGTCATTGTCTAACTGCATAACAAACAGCCAGAAGCTATAATGTGTTCTCATACTTATTAGAAGTTGATATTTAGTATTTTTATCCCACCCTCCCACAGTCCGCCCTATAAAGCTAAAGGAAGAAATTTTGTCCTGTACTTTTGCTGAATTGAGTTTGGGCTTATGCCAGTTTATCCAAGAGGTGCGGAGACCAAATGGTGAAAAATATGATCCAGACAGCATCTTATACTTGTGCCTTGGAATTCAACAGGTACCAAATTAAATTATTTTTCTTTATTTCTTACTGGTACTGGCAGTTGTTACTTCTTAGTAATTCTGGCAAAGCCCATCAATCAGTTTGAAAAAATAGTGTAATAATTTGTGCTTATATAAGAACACATTTTTTTTCTGTAACCCTGAAATTAGTTCTTCTTGTTGGTGTAGTATTGTTTTGGGGGCTCCTTTGGGTATGAGGTTCAGATGACTTTGGAATTAGAGTGCATCTTATTTTTAAGATTTTAGATTGGCCAAACCTAGTTTTCAGAAAACTATGACAACTGCATTGATTTCCTTCAAGTGCTTGTACTTATTAATATTTCAAAAATGATGGGTGTACTCCATTTGACAGAAACCTACCATAGTCATTTGGAAATAAAAAATTCTATCAGTTGTCAAATAATCAACTATCTATTGTGTGCCTGCTGTTTTTCTAGACTGGGCCATAGGCCTTATTGAGACAAATAAACAAGGGATTTCATCCTCACCCTTAAAGAGCTAACAGTCTAACTATGTAAAGATAAATTAACATTAATTACCAATTGAATCTTATAGATATATTGTTTGTGTTGAAAGATAAGTCTTCTCCATTTAAAAAATCAGCATTAATCAGTCACATTGAGTATTATTAATAACCCTCAACTCAGTTACTAAATAGACATAAAATAAATTCTCAAAATAAGTAATTCTTTAGGAATGAACACTAAAAGTTTAAACAATTTAAAGGAACCTATTCATAGATTCAGTATACAGAATTTCTTATCTGAAAGTACCTCAGAGGGCATCTAATTCAACCCTTTCCATCATAGGAATTCCTTATACGGTAATCTCAAGGAGAGGTGGAGGGGTCCTCCCAAAGCAGTTTGTTCTGCTTTTTAACAGCTTTAGTTGTTTGGAGGTTTTTCTTTACATTGAGCCAAAACTTGCCTTCACTGTTTCTGTTTTTGCCCTATGAGGTCAAGCAAAATAAGTCTAACCCCTTTTCAAAATGGCAGTACTTTAACTGCTTGGAGACAGCATTGATACCACCCCTCTGCTTTCTCTGTTCTTAACATCCCCAGGACCATTATATGTCCTGATTTCTAGTCGTTTGAGCATCTTGTTTGCCTTTCTTTAGATTCAGCTCACTAATATCCCCAAACCCCCATCTTTTCCATTTCCTTCCTTACAAATAGCCAAAAACTAACCTCAGTATTGTAGATCTGATCTAAGTTTGAGTACAACAAGGCTGTCATACACAAGGCTTTTCCTACTGCCATGCCGCGGTGCTGACTTAAATTGAATTTGCAAGCCACTTAAACCTTCTGATATTTTTCATATGTTCAATTGTCTAGGGCTAGTCAATCCTCATCATTCTATTCTTGTTCAATAGATTATTCTGAATCCAGCTGTAAGATGTTTATATTTACCCTAACCAAATTTCATTATAGAGTCAGTCACTCTGTCCCTCTGTCCTTTGGAGATCTTGTTGGACCCTGACTCTTGCCTAGGATGTTAGCTGTTTCACTTGGTAAGGGAGCTGCTATCTGCTACATTACTCAAATCATGGTTAAAAACCTTGAACAACTAAATGCCACGGATATTCCACTGAAACCTTCCACTAGTGATACCTCCCTTCATGTTTACATCATTTTATAGTGACAATCATAATGGTAACTGATACTCCTTTTTAAAATTTTTGAACCTGTTTGCATAAATTATCTCATTGAATCTTGCAACAACCCTGTTGTGAAAGTCTAATCATCCGGCTAGATCTGAAGCCACCTAATTGTATTTTCATCTAATCTTTGTGTTACCTTGGGTTAGAGATGTTATATAAAGTAAATTCTGAGAACCACATAACACATAAGGGCCGCTTGTTTTGTGAATGTAATCCTAAGAGAAATTCCTGGTTTTATGATTTAGATTCAGTACAGTATTTATATTTTGTGGTTGATTTCAAACTCATAGGTAAATGTGAGTTAGTTAAATTATTAATGTTGTCAGTTTTAAGTGAATTTCCCAATTAACCAACAGTTATCCACTTATACACTAAAACTGTCTGTGTTATGAGGACATAGGACAAAGAGACGAGAACTGCTAGCGCTTTTTCCCACTATGCACAATTTTATGTACTGATTTAAGGGCCTTTCTATTTCTACCTCCAATAATCCTCTGATCGATTCAGTTATGTCTTTAAAAAAAGTAGAGCCCTTTACCAGAAATTAATTTAACTAGTAAAGTAAGTCAATAAAGAAAAACCATCTTCCTTCAAATTTATCTGCAGGTAAAAAATGGTAACTTTAGAAGTCCATGACAAAATGGCATTTGAAAAAATGAAGTTTAATTGGAAATCAAACCCTCTCTAACATTTGGGTTCTCTGCTGTACTCTTTAGCACTTAATTATATGCTCTATTTTATTCTTTTATTATTTTATGTCTGCTTGTTGTCTCCATGGATAAACTAGGTTAACACTTAACCTAATCTGTTCTCAAAAATTACAAAGACTTTATTGTCCATGTCCAGCACTGTAGGCCTGGGTTTCTCTGCCTCTTAATAACTGTAATTAACAGGTAAAGTTTTATTTTTATCACAGAAACTTTTTTGGTTCTGGGGCTTCATGCAACTAGCTTCTAAGCACAGAACTAAAGGTCTCCTGAGTTCACTTAATATTGGCTAGCTCTTATTAATTTTTTTTTCCAAAAATTTTTCTTTTAAATATTTAACTTTAAATTGTCTTACACCATTTTAAAATGTGATTTTTTTAAGTACATAATTAAATCAATTAAAAAATGTTTTGGAATAAATTAAATTCCTTTAAAAACCACCATCTGAGGAGCGCATCTATTCAGTAAATTTGAAGTATGCTTATATTTTATTAATCATTATCAAGATTGTATGTCATAGAAGTACAGACAGTTCTGGCTTTATATAAATTTGCATTATGCAAATTCAAGTTTATGTAAAGAATTCTGAAAGAAATCCACATTCCCAAAAAAACACGCATGTTAATTTTACTGTACAGCATTATGTGCTCTCGTTCTCTTGGTCTCTGCTCTGCTCCTGCCCCTTGGGTTCTGCGCTCTGTGGGGCAGCCACCCCCCCAAAAAAAAAAACCAAACTTAAAAAAACCTCTAAGTGAAAGCAGATACCACTGCCTGATTTGAGGCTTGGCTGGAGACCTCCAATGCCAACAGAAGAGACCTTTGCCCTGCTCTGACCATTCAGTGTGAGAGGGGTAATAATATATTACGAGGCTAGAAAGATAAGATAGGGCCAAGTTGTGAAGTATTTTCAAGCCGAACAGAAAATTTTATGTTTTATTCTGTAGGTGATAAGGAGCCACAGGAATTTCTTGAGTAGAAAAGTGGTGTGCTCAGAGCTGCACTTAAGGAAAATTACTTTGGCAGCCATGTGGAGGATAATTTAGAGCAGAAATGGACTTGAAGCAGGGAGACCAGGAGGAGGCCATCACAGTAGGTGAAGAGGCCCTGAACTAAACTGTGCTCAAAGAAGGAGGTAGAAACAGCCAGATCAGGCAGTGGATTGAATGCAGAATTCAGGGGGATAGTGAATAGTTGAGGATACTGCTGAGGTTATGAACCAGGAGACTGGAAAGAATAGTGGTACATTTGATCAAAATAGAGAAGTTTGGAAGAGGGGTGGATGTAGGAATAAAAATAATGAGTTCTCTTCTGGACATGTAGAATTTGAGATATGTTAGTGACGTTCGGTTTGAAACATCCAGTAGGAAATTGGTGGTGCAGGATTGCTAATTAGAGAAAAGACTAGGCCTACCCATAAATATCTATATGTCATCTGCATAAAGATGATAATTAAACCCTGTGGAGCTGATGAGGTGACAAAGAGTAAAAGAGAGAAGAGAGGGACCAGGACACAGACTTGTGGAACACCCATTGTTGGGGAAGGACATGATGTAGGTAATGGGCCAGCAGCCAGGCTGAGGAGTATTCAGACATAGGAAGAGAACCAGGTAAGAGCAGTTTCACAGCAACCCAGAGTAGAGAGATTGTCCAGAAGGAAAGGTAGGTAGTCACCAGTGTCAAATGAAGCAGAAAGGTTAAGAAAAATGACATGTAACTGAAAAAAGGCCATCAGATTTGGTAATTAAGAAATTATTGGTAATTTTGGAAGGAGTGGTTTAAGTTGAGTGATGAGGTGTTAAGCCAGAGTACAAAGACATAATGAAAGGAAATGAAAGAAAGGTGTGTGGACAGCTTTTTCTAGGAGTTTAACTGAGAAAAGGACAAGAGTTAGGAGGAAAACTTGGAAGAGAGAAGATTCTTTAAAGATGAGAGAGACTTGGACATATTTGAGGGAAGTGGGGAAGGAACTACAATACAGAGAAAAAATGAAGATCACGGAAGGGGTAAGATGATCAAGGGGGCAGGCACTCTGCTGGAATCAAAGACGGGAAGGAATAGAATCAAGGGTATGTGTCAACGTGGCCTTAGTAAGGAGGACTACTTCTTTGTCAAAGATTGGTGAAAGGCATAATAAGGGATGATGAAGAGAAACAGAAAATAAAATATGATCTCAGTTTTATCAGAAAGTAAGAATTGAAATCCTCAGCTGAGAGGGTGGGGTATAGGGAAGTTTGGGAGGCTTGATGACAGAAGAGGAATTAGCTTTGATGGGAATTGAAATGGGGAGGCAGGAAGGTAGAGAAAGTATTGTTTTGTTGCAGTGAAGACCCATTTGAAGTTTGACAACATATATTTGTAGTCTGTCAAATTAGTACAATTGTGTTACTTCCTTTTGTGCCATTTGGCAGCACAAGACTAATCCAGGACTGACTTTTGTCAAGGGGTGATTGTCAGATGAGATGGTAAGTTGAGAGTAGGAAACAGTGTGGAGTTCAATTGGCTAATTATCAAGTCAAGATGAGGGAAGCGAAGTTAGACCAGAGGTAATGGCCTGGAAAAGTACCTAGGAGTAGAGGAATTAGAGGTCATGAAGAAGGAGAAATAGTAGTGGAACACTTTAATGGTCAGGTTTGACTGTGACCCTCTTTATGTATGTCTGAGAATTAGGGAGTAGATCATGAAATTTTAAGAGAGAGATTGAGAATCTCAGAAGTTAGGTTGTTTGGGGGGAGTATTGGCATGGAAATTGGAGTCCCCTGGTATAAGAGAAAGAATTGGAGAGCAAAGACAGGGAGCGTGGTACTGAACTTCTTGCCAAAGGAAGGGTAATGATTTGTAGACAGCTGTCACTATGAATTGTCTGTATTGCGTAGGAACTTAGGATAGTAATATTTAAAGGGGAGATTACTGAGTAACGGTTACAGAGAGGCTGTGGAGAGCAAGAAGTATTCCAGCTCCTTCTGTACGACTAGAGAGCATCAGCAGTTGAAGGTACCACCAGTGCTGGAAAGGATGACCAGCCATGCAGGGACATTTGGGGGGAGCCAGATATCTGTAAGAGCAAGTAGACAGAAAGAATGGGAGAGAAAAAGGTCTGCAATGAAAGGAGGTTTGTTCACTCTAGAACTAAAATGCCAGAGGGCACAGTAGGAGGGATGTGGCCAGACATGGGGCAGGATGGAGATGAGAGAGGGAGATAGACTTGCCTCTTGATAGATCCCACCTGAACACCCACCTGGGTTTTCACATTCTCTCCAGCTTTACTCAGATTTTGCTGACCTGCACACCACAGGATTGGCAGAATTCCTCTTCATTTGGGGCACCTAGTCATGTCTCCCCTGTCAGGGTCATCATTCCTCTTGCTGAAAAATCTGTGCTTCAGTAAGCAATTAACAAGTCAGAAAACATTTTTTCAAGTGTGTCAGAGACCATTGTACATTTAGATTTTCTTTCTTGAACCTGATATTTTTATATGTTTCATTGACATTTTTCTTAACTAGTAATGGAACACTATTCATATTGCAGTGGGGTTGGAAATTAAAAAGAAAGCTTTACCTTTTTTTTTTATTAAAATGGAAAAAAAGTTAACTTTTGTCCTTTTTCTGTGTACCAACCAATGTATGTCTATCTTTCCTTTTTTATTGCAGTACCTGTTTGAGAATGGGAGAATAGATAACATTTTTACTGAACCTTATTCCAGATTTATGATTGAACTTACAAAACTTTTGAAAATATGGGAACCTACAATACTTCCTAATGGTAGGACAATGATGGATTGGGGGGTTTTATGTTTTTTTGTGTGTATTCTTAACATATATAATATTTTTTGGTTTTCTGAGCCTTCTGCCAATCATGTCACGATGACATTTATATTCTTGCCATAAGTATCACTACTCTGTCCCCAAATTTTATATTATGTAAAATATCCTCTCAACACTAGAGTCCTTTGGAGAAAAGAGAGACTATGAATTGATTAGTCTTTGGGGATTGTATGCATCTTATCCAAGAAAAATTACATATTTCCTCTATCTTATTACCAAATAGAAAAAATATATAGTTTTCAGGCAGAATTTCCATGCCAGTACTCAGATTCAAGAATTTGAGACGTGTGATATGTTTCCTTTTGCAAAACCTAATACTTAAAGAAATTTCTCATAATTTTAATGCTTTTAAAACCCTTAAAGCCGAGCACTTTTAAAAGATCTTGAGAAAACCATGCCAGAACAATAACTTTAATGATATATCAGGGAATGTTGTGGTAGGTCCCCATCTTCCCTTGTGCTCCATGTTTATTTGAATATAGAAGAGGAAAAGACATATGGAATCCCTCTCCCCAGGGTTTGGTTGCCACTGGATTGAGATCTTTTTAGCTTTTCACTTTGCGTGGCATGGATGAAAAGATGCTGTTTTTATCTCTTTTCTCCACATCCCTTTTCAGGGTACATGTTTTCTCGGATTGAAGAAGAGCATTTATGGGAGTGCAAACAGCTGGGTGCTTACTCACCAATAGTTCTCTTGAATACACTTCTTTTCTTCAATACTAAATATTTTCAACTAAAGAATGTCTCAGAGCACCTGAAGCTTTCCTTTGCCCATGTGATGAGGCGGACCAGGACTTTGAAATCTAATGCCAAGATAACATATTTGAAAGTTTTCCCTCCTTTTCAGAAGCAGGAGGTAGAATCAGGTATGTGGTGCTATTTTTGAATATCTTTATAAATTGTATGTGTATATTTATGTTCAGATAGATCACTTAACTACTATCTGGTCAGGCTGGTGCCCTGAAATTTTAGACGTAGAAAATAGCTGCTTTGTTTTTAACACTGAAATAACTTCCTGCAGTTTCATTATTAACCAGGACTATTTGTTACATCTATTTACCGTAGTCGGTCTGAAGTTTTTCAGCACGAAGGTTCTATCTTCTTTTGAGGCTTATACACTGATACATCATTCTCATATCACCTTGTTGGCATCAAATACGACACTAAGCTTTTACATTTATTATCTGATTTAATCCTCATAGCCACCCTGTGAGGTAACACAGAGAAGGTATTTTCCCCATTTTACTGATAAGGAAGTTAATGCTTAAGTGATTTGCCCAAAGTCATAAGTGGTAGAGCTGAAATTAAAGATCATGTCTTTTTAACTTCCAAGCCTCTAGTATGCTTTCTACCATTCATGTTGCCTTTAAGTTAGTATTATTGCTTTATAGAGAGGACTTCTCTTTATTTTTGTTTTTATCAAGATGTCTAATACAATATTCCTTTTGTCCAGTTAACCAGTAGAGGTCATTGCTGAGTGCTGAGTTTAGCACCATACTACTCAGTATTCAGCATATGTCAAAAATGAAAAATCCTAGCAGCTTTAGTCTTTTTTTCATGAAATTATCATGTAATCATTTACTATGTAATTATTTTGTAAAGCAGTACTTAACATTTTTTAAAAATTACTGAGATGTCTTTTTTTTTCACATCACTTTCATTTCCCAATATATTCTTTCTGTTACCCTGGGAGCCATCCCTTTAACAAAAAATTTAAGAGAAAATTGTATATTGGGGGAGGGAGGGAGTTGGGGCAGTACAGTTCAGTAGAACTGTCCAGCAGGAGGCAGCGAGGTGGTGCAGTGGATAGAGCACCTGCCCTGGAGTCAGGAAAACCTGAGTTCAAATCCGGCCTCAGACACTTGACACTTACTAGCTGTGTGACTCTGGGCAAGTCATTTAACCCCATTGTGTAGCCCAAAAAAACCAACCAAAACCAAAAAAACTATCCAGCAGTTCAGCAGACACATCAACTGTGTTGCACAGTATAAGATGTTACATTTTGTCAACTTTTCTCTTAAATCAGGGTTGTTTATTATAATTGCAAAATATTGAAGTTTGTTGGGGTTTTTGGGTTTTTTTACATTGTTATAGTTATGTATATTATTTCCTGTTTTATTTAGTTCACTTTACATCAATTTCTATAAATCCTTTCATACATTCCAAATTCTTTATATTCATCATAATGCCTTGTAGATCTCACTGACAAGGAAGAAGTGGTTTGATGGGGTGGAAACTTTGGGAACCTTGATAAATGGTGACTCACTCCCATTTTTTAAAAGACTGTAATACAGAAGTGAAGGAAAGGGAAATTGGTCATTATCTAACATACAATCTAGTTTTTAGGAGATATCTGTAGGGTCCAGAAAAAGGATCGATAGGTTCTCTGGCTTAACATTCTATAGGAGATTCTGTCTATCAAGACTGAAATTCTATAAACATAAAGATAGGTAATTCCAGTGGGAAGAAAAGGGAGTTGTCTGAAGAGACTGTGGTGGATGGACAGGATGTAATGTACATAAGCTGAAAGCAAAGAAGAGTACAAACTAGAGATCGCTGAATTTGGGACTGGTTGAAAGGTTGGAACCAAAGAATGTGACATCTTAGGAAGAAGAGTCTAAGAAAGTGCCGTAGGGATCTGTGCTTAGCCCTGTATTCCTTAACGTTATTATCAGTTACTTGGATGAAGACATAATTATAATACATAATTTGGAGGAAACGCAAAACTGGATCAGATAGCCAACATATTGAATGACAAAATCAGATCCAGAAACATCTTGACATGCTAGAATATTGGACCTAATTTAATAAAATGAAATTTAATAAGGTTAAATTCTAATTATTCTTGGATTTTAAAAATCAGCTTAACAGGTACAACACAGGCAGCCATGGCTACACAGCATGACTTTTGACGGCAAGCTGGAGATTGTATTGTATTACAGATTTGGCATGTCAGGTCAAGAAGTAACATTATTTCAGGTGGCATGAAAAGGGACATGGCATTTAGGACCGATAAAAGTTACATTCTGCTCTGGCCACCCAACACCTCAAATACTGTGTTTAGGTCTGGATGCCTCATTTTTGGAAAAACTATAGCGCATCCAAAAGAGGGCAGCCAAGAGAGGGAACTTAGGAAGTTTTCCCTGGGAGAGAAACCACTTAGAATTTCTTTACTTATCTTAATAATAGTGGGTAAATTAGCAAGGAGTACCACTGTTTTGGATCTCATTCTCTCCAGTGTAGCAGAACTAGGTGTTGGAAGAGAAATGATGAGAAACCTGGGAGAAGGCAACTACTCCAAATTTGAACTTGATAGAGAAGGAGAAGAAAACCTAGAATGGCCTGATGTGCAGCCAGGGCTAGTAGAAAGAAGATGAAGAAGCCTGTGATTTAGAACGCTGTAGGAGAAATCTGCGTAGGAGGGGTCGGAAACCTCTGAAGACACACAGAGGTAAAATTCTAGGGACACTGCCAGGCTGGAGAGCATCAAGATGGAGGCAGCCAGCCAGATGAAAGGCCTTGAATTCTGAGGAGGAGGGGAGTTGTGAGATTTTTGCCGTCTTGAATTACTTATAAGATTGTTATAGGGAAGAAGGATTGTTCTGCTTAGGCCCAGTGAGCAGAACTAGGACCAGTGGATGAAAATTCCAAAGTGACAAATTTAGGCTCTTTTGGAGGAAGATCCTTGTAACTGTTAGAGCAAGGCTGGGGATGGGATGGACAGTGGGTTTTCCATCCCTAGAAATCTTCAAAGGAAAAGCTGCATGACTACTTTTTGGATATATTATAGAAGGGACTCTCGTTTAGATGTTAGAGTTGATGACCTCTGAGAGTCCTTCCAATTGATGGATTCTGTGATTATGATATTTACCGAACTCTTCTTATATTTTACACAGTCAAGAATTACATTTATTCTGTGGTTGATAGAAGTAGATTTTCCTCTCTTCACTTCCCCTGGCTTCTTTGTGATAACCTTGGACCTCTGTAGAATATTTTAACTGAAAAATGATTTGTCTATTATATGTGAGGTGACTTTCACTTGGCATTTCCATTCATCACTAATTCTATTTCTGATAATTCTCTAGGAGGAAACAAGTTTGAATAAATAACCCATTGAATGCCAACAGGAATGCTTGGAGGCAGAAGGCTAGTTACTTTCTTGGTTTGTGTACTGTAGCAGGAGAGAAGCTGATCTTGGAATCTGTTTGGCTTGAGCTCACATCTGTTTTCTGTTGCTATGGATGCCAGGAACCTGGTTAGACCCAGGGAAGTTTTTTTTTTCTGCTGTGAATGTCAGGTTCTCCAGGAATAAGCTGCTTCCAGCCATCTTGTTCTTCTTTCATAAGAAATGCTCATTGGCAGGTAGAATTTCTGGTTTTGCAGTTAAATCCAGCAAGCATCTTTAGTGCTTAAAGTGAAGACACTTCCTTATTCCCCAACAGTCTTTTTTATCCCACCATCTCTAGATAAACTGACTGTGGGAAAGAGAAAACGTAATGAGGATGAAGAGGTTTCAGCTGCTGTGGAAATGGTTGAAAATGCAGACAACCCACTAAGATGCCCAGTCCGTCTTTATGAATTTTACCTGTCAAAATGGTAAGTAGCATGTGGATCCCCAGTGCATGAAGTAGATCATAATGATTCTGAATTTCAGTACATTGGAACCCAGAATTGTAGTACAGGCCTGTGACTGGCTAACATGAAGGGCAAAGATATATTGTCATAGAATAAAGTCAGATTGCTCGCAGTTTTTGTTGGCCATCTAGTTGCCTGGGAGACAAACTATCTCAGTGGTCCTTAGCACTCTGGACTTTTCTTATGCACCAGTCTAAAAGGGAAGGAAGCATTACATGTAGAGACCAGGATGTCAAAGGGTCAGGATTTCCTGCGTATAGAAAATGGAACATCTTACAACTTTCAGCACGTGGAGATCTAGAAATAGGAACAAGTATGCATTCTTATTAAATACACAGGGCTGATGGTAGACAGTTTCTAATGTGGAATCACTTACACTAAGTCTTGTTCTATAACATCTGCGTATAAATATTACCTTTCCCTTAATTCTAAAAAGAAATTGGTGCGGCCTGCGCCCCCACCCCAAGTTTTCTAAAAACCTCGTTGCAAACAAGCCAAGCTGGGCAGAGTGACTTTCTGATAGCATCTAAACCTTTGTTTTAATGCAGCTTTTTCATAGAAGCTATTTTTGTTTAATAAATGACTACCATCCATAAATAATGGTCATTATACCTAGTGTTGAGTTAGACACCTGGCTTCTGAGCAACCACAATTAATTGATTAATGACAGAAAGTAGAGAAGATACTTTATTCTGCAAAATATTTAAGGAGGCAAGATCTGTTTTTAAGAATTTTGATATTTGTCCTCCTCTTACAGAAGTAAATAATATAGATTTGGTATTGTTAAGCATTCTTTTTAAGTGAAATGGTAGGAGATGGCAGTATTGCCCACCGGGCTTATATCAATGTTGTAGGCAGTAGAACCTATCTTTTAAAAGACCCATCACTTCAGTGATTAATCCCATGTGTAATTATGCAGAGATCCAGTATTACTCAGGTTATAACAATCAAGAAAAGTACATAGTGGATTACTAACACATTTGGGAAAACTATAACTACTATATATCTCTATATAGTTACTATAGCTTATAAAATAGGAGTTTCCAGGGATAGGATACAAGACATCTACTGCTTTTAAGTGTCCTCTCTCAGGTCATAGGCCTGCAAAATTTCAAACTCTAGTTAATCAATAATTCTGAGAGTTGTAAGTCATGAGAGCATTGTGTACACTGAATTTCTCTTCCCCACAAAAGATTTAGCTGAAAGTTGTGATATTGGCCCATCACTCAGGGAGTGGTGGTGATGTTCTCCTCTGACTTAAATTTTCTCTTCTTTCTGTGGATAGTTCTGAAAGCGTGAAGCAGAGAAGTGATGTATTTTATCTTCAGCCTGAGCGCTCCTGTGTACCCAATAGCCCCATGTGGTATTCCACATTCCCAATAGACCCTGGGACCTTGGACACCATGTTAACACGTATTCTCATGGTGAGGGAAGTACATGAAGAACTTGCCAAAGTCAAATCCGAAGACTCTGATGTTGAGTTATCAGATTAAAACTGAAGTGGGATTTTATTTTCATACACATTTGTAAGCACCAAACTGTGAATGCATCCAGCCTTCAGAAAACGGTGTGTATCAGATAAGCCAAGTCCTCTTGACTTGGTTATAAAATAAAGGAAAAAGGCATCTTGTGAACCACGGGGGATGTACAAACTGGAATCGAAGGAAGCAAGCTGAAAGAGATGACATCCTTTGGCGTTGATAGAGTTCTTAAACAACTAAAGAATGAACTAACCTACTTCTGAGTGGTGCATTATCTTATTTTGTTTGGGAATAACAAATTGTGAAATATTTTTAAGGAAAATGTTGTATAAAACTCTACCATAGTAAACATATACCTTAGAGAGGTAGGTCACGTTACTGTGACTTTGGCGTGAAATTTTGGCTGCTGTTGACTACTATAGGGCAAGCCCTGCATTAGTCAGGGAAGAAACCCATAGAAATTTCATGACAGATACTAAATGAGGTATGTGGGGCCCAGATTCAAGGACCTTAAACACCTAGCTTCTTTTTTTCCAAGGAGTAGAGGATAAAGGTGGTCTTGTTTTTGTTTGCCACGCTCATTTAAGTTGGTGAAGGATGCCAGTCTTCAGTGCTTCTGCTGCGGTCCCTCATGTAGGCAGGAAATGCCTTCACTGCTGTTGTCATAGTGATATCCCTCTTTGTTTCCCGAATCTGTCACAGCTATGGGTATAGGCCATGGCTGAAGTGAGGGAGCTCTGGTTGTAGACAGTGGGAATCTGTGGAGCACATGTTAAAACCCGAGGATCTTGGAATGTTTAGAAAAATCCACTAAATACCCTTCTGAGGGTTCTGCTGCCCTTTATAATCTGATACCACTATCTCCTAAGTACTGTGGTACACAGAAAATAGAGGTCCCCCATTTCGTTGTTGTTGTTTTTTTTTTTTTTGGTTTTTTTTTTTCAAAATGGCAGCTTCTCTTTCCACTTCTTTCCCGTCCCAATTCCCAGTTCTTTCTTTTGGCTTGTCTTCTGTGCCAGGTTCCAGAGGCCCTTGTCATTTCAAAACAAATGGTCCCTTTTTCTTCCCTCCTTTTGGCAAACTCATGTGTGATTAAATAAAGACACAGTATTACTCAGGCTATGAGAACCAAGGTAGAAAAGTACCTAGTATGTTTCCAGCTAAAGCGTTTAGAAGAACTTGTAGCTACTATATTCCTAAAAGTGAGACTTTCTAGGGAGTAAAAAAGCATTCTGTTTTAGGTGTCCACATCCAGGTCCTAGCTCAGCAGTGTTTCAGATGCTAGCTACTCAGTAATCTTAGAGTTGTAAGTCATGGGAGCATTGGGTATATGAATTTCTCTCTCTTAGAAAAGATTTAGCTAAAGGTTGTTATGATGGCCACTCACCTTCTTTAAGATTGAATTGGGCCCTATGATAGAAATGTCAGAGCCTCTCAGAAATTTTAACAGCCTTGAAAAGAATTTTCAAGATTTCCCCTTTTTGAAAGGTGGGAGGGGGTGGGTGGGAACAGAAGGTCCGTGCTTTTTTTTTTGTTTGTTTTAAAACAGTAACTAAAGGTCATTTAACTACAATAAAAATCAGAAAGTAGCCTTTTGACATTGTGTACCTAGTCGTTTTGTCCCTCTTGCCTGTAACAGATTTCACGGATGTATTTTTAATACCAAGAACTGTGTGAAAAAAGTAAATCTGCCCCAATTCTGTATGATCACATCCATCTGTGTTTGTCATTTCTGACTATAGAACTTGCCTATTTCAAGTGCTTGTTTGAAGTGGAGGGATAAAAATCTGACTGTCAGATATTACCTAATAAAGCATCTAAATCTTTCCTGGCATAATGGTCCCCATGCTAAGAACATGACAGTGTGTGGAGAAACACTGAGACACTTGCCCTTCTACCTGTAGTGGTGTAAAAAATACGCATAGAGAATGTAGTGGATGAATTGTTATAAAGTAACCAGAAACAAACAAAATCTATATCTTTTAACTTGAGAACTACCATTACCTGGATAATGTATGATTGATTGTATGAGATCCCAGGATTTCAGGTTCATGTAAGTCTGCAAAGTGGCCCAGAACCCTGATCTAATGCCTAGGAGAAAATATTGATAATTAATTCTTGATCATTACTCATAAGTATAGCCGTTAACGTTTGTGTGCCTAGTTGTTTGGGTTTTTGTTTTTTATTTCATTAAAATTATGTGAAATGGGCTCTTTTCCCCCCAGGGAGAAAAGAGAAACACCTAGTCACTCATTTAAAAAGCAAAACAAAAAAAAACTTCTGGGTTTTCCCTTGACAAAAGCCACAGAAATATTCCCCTAGAATAAAATAGTATATTTGTATATGATGGGTGAGTTATTCTTTTTTTCCATCTTGGAAAAAACTTTGGCTTTTTTCCCCTTAGGTCCTGTTGGTATGTCTCAGCATATTTTAAAATTACAGGGAAAAAATTCGACCTGATTTACTTGCTTCCAGAAAACATTATTTTTATTCAGGCAGGTAAGCATCCATTATCTCATTGAAAAGTCTTTTAAATATTTTTCCCGCCAGTAGTTTTAGTAGAGAGAAGGTTAACCTCAAAATCAGAAATATCTCAGTTCTAGACCTTTTGATCATGAACAAGACACTTTACTTTTTAGTGTCTCGGGCAATTCAAGAAAGAGAGGAATTGTGGATCTGTATTAGAGGCAGATGTTTTTTCATAGCAAGAGAGCAGTCCACCAGTGAAATTACAGGTCTGGATTTTAAGTTGTGTGACTTACAAATTCCAAACCTGCTTGGAGTTAAGCATGAAAACTTCCTAAAGTCAAGAGTGTAGACAACATAAGGTGTTCTTTTGGAAGACCAGCTGACGTTTTTCTGAAGTGCTGGCAGTCTTCGTAGTCTTCGTGCAACTTTAGTTCATAAATAATTTATTTACCCTAAATAGATTTTCCTTCATATATTTTCAGGAAAGTTCAAAGCAAAATTAATTTCTGTTAAGTAAATCATGCTTTCCTTGACTTTCATTACAAATTTAGAGATAGGACCATGGCAGGGAAACAGTAGCACAATAGATTTAGCTGAAAACTCATTGTATTCCCCCACCTTTTTTTTTTTAATGATATTCTAGAAATCCCCCTTTAGGCATCTATTCAATCCATCCCTTTGACTCTTTTCTTCTGTAACATGATGTACATCAGAATCGTCAAACTCACAGGCCATATATGACCCACCACCCTCCCGCATGTGGCCCAAATCAGACTGAAATGTATTTCCTGTGTTGATACATTAATTAAAAAAAAAATGTGTATGTGGTTTTCTAAGTCAATATATGGCCGCAAAGATCCTTAGGTGTGATTTTAGTGTTTACAGTTTGACACCACTGATGTATATTATGTCATAGAAATTTCTTCAGTTCATTATTGGTTTCTATCAAATATTAGCTTCCTACTTTAAAGGTTCTACTGGTTTATGGTATCAGATATTTAGAATGAGTTGCCCGTATGTAGTACTACAGTCAGCTACAAGCTAGCACATAATTTATTTGCCTGGATTACAGCAAAGTGGTATAGTAAAAAGAGTGCGAGATTTGGAATCGAGAGACCTGAGTTTGAATCCCATCTCTTGGTAACTGTGTGACCCTGAGCAAGCAGTCACTTAACCTTACTTAGCTTCAATTTCCTCAACTGTAAAATGAGGAGCATTCTTGTAGAGAGAGCCTCTAGTGCTCCTAGCAAACCCTTCAACCCAGTCCAGAAGACCGTAAAAAGTATATTTGTTCATTTTAACTAGCAGCCTTAGAAGAAGCTGTTGAGAAAACAGATTTAACTATCTATAGTACTATGTTCTGTGCTTTGGCGTCACTGATGAGTATGTGTTAGGTGCAAAAAGCCAATGACCTGTAGGAGCTTCCACAGCTCTTACTGAGATTCTGAATAAATCTTTAATATTTATGAATGTATTTATTTGTAAAATTGTTGACTTAGGGAATAGTTTTACTATTGCCTTAAAAAACAAAGATGACATTGTAATACAACCTGTTATGTAACGAAAGAAAAAATGCATGCCTTTCACTTCCTCTTGCCGCTTCGCCTTCCCCAAACATCAAAAAATGATGATGATGATGATGATGATGATGATGATGATGATGATGATGATGATAATTGGGTTGAGAAATGACCCCAGACCAGGTGGTAGAAAGATGGACATCAGTAAAATAAAATAAATGGTCCAAAATACCTTAAATTTGAGAAAGAATAATACACTATAGAAAACAGTTGTGGGATTTTCTCAGTCATAGGAGTATACTCTGTACTCTATTATATTGGCTTGGGAGAAAGAACCACAGTGATCCTTGCTGCTGCTGCTGCTGCTGGAGATAGGCTGTCAAGATCATTATTGAGGAAGGGGGTTACCCAGTTTAGGAGGTTGAAATAAGAGGATAAGTGCCCCAAACTGAAAGAACAGACACATTTCTTAATAGGTAGAGCCACGGGGTCATTGCCTAAGTTGGCAAATCCATAAACCAAAGAGAGTAGACATTGGATCAACACAAGAAATGACTCCACTTGGTTGTCCTTGTACTTCAGAGGCAGTTACCAGCCTCTTATCTTGGGATGAAAATTTGGGGAGACTAGGAATAAAAGTGTCCACAAGGGTTTTACCACTTAGAGGAGGGGTCTTTAAGATTGAGAAGAAAAGGTGGTGGCATTCCTAGGAGTGACTGTTAGATATTTATGCAAAGGTAGTTCAGTAATGTGAGACTATACATGCTGTTTATTCTAGCTGTATAGTGTGAATCTCAAAGTTGGCTCACATGCTCAAGATTAGTTGTGTTCTTGAACCGAACTACATTGCACAGGGCATATGAGGGAATGCGCTGAAGAAGAGAGTGGGGTTAGACTGACCCATGGGCATAATGGGTGGTAAACAATTCCATGCTTTTGGTCTGCCTGCCATGAAGCCATAAAGGGAGCCAAGGAAAGTGGTAATAAAACTTGCCTTTCTTCCTTCACCCCTTTGATTCTGCAGGCATCTTCTATAACCCATTTACTGAGGAAAACAGTTTTTTTGTTATTGATTCCCAGGTTTGGCATGGCTTACTGCCTTTAAACATCCATGTCTACCTTGCCCAAGATTCCTGAAATAACTGAGCCAGAAATGTTTGGGGGTTTTCTTTTTTTTTTGGGGGGGTGTCTCTACAGGATACACATAATGAAGAATGTGAAAGATAGTTCCCCAAAGCTCTTTATAATCCCCTTTAGGAGACTCCAGACCTAGTATCCAGAGCTGAAGAAATGTGTCCCACAGGAGTCAGATCTCTTCACAGCAAATGTGCTATTTTTTGGACTTGCCTGGAAGTAGGAGAAGACAGTTGTGTGACTCTGTGTTCAGTGAATTCATTGCTTAGACGCATTGGCATGTATCTGAAGATACATTCATACTGGAAGCTTTCCCCGGAAACTCGAGTCAAGTCACCAGGAGCCACCTAGAAATTTGAAAAGCCACATATCCGTTCTCCTAATGGACAACTAAGCCTGCTTGTCTCTGGGAATTCAGAATGATTGTTGGAAAAGTCATTTCCGTTTCCAGGAAGCAGCATATCGAGTCCTTGAATGGTGCACGTTTTCTTGAAGATTATCCCACATCCCTGGAATATTTGGGCTCTTCTGCCTCACCTCTTAGCTTCTTTGATTCCCGTGAGACTCAGCTCAAATCCCGCTTTTCTTGATGCCCCAGATACTAGTGCCTTTGTCTCCCAAATTACCGTACACCTACTCCGTATATATCATTTGTACCTAGTTAACTTGTGTGTTGTGTCTCCCCTTCCTCCATCAGAAGTGCAGAAATTCTTTGCCTGTCTTTATATCCCCAGCAATTAACAGTGAAAACACTAAATAAATGTTTGTTGACTGGCATTTATTAAATGCCTATTGCTTTATTTGGCCGTATGCCTCAGGTAAAAGCAAATACCTGTGCTGAGGATTTCTAGAAAATTAGTACTCAGGAAATGATATCACAAGTTTAATTGTTATATGAGCAAATAGACAGACAGAGTATATACATGTGTACCATATGGCAGAGGTTTGTCCCTACACATGAGAAACCCCAGCTGGAGGGTGAGGGAGACGTGTTGGGGAGGGAACAGCCTTAAAGTTGGGGTACATGGGCGAGATTATATACCCTACAAATGGGCTTGGTTGAGGACAGCTAATTGGTGCCATATGTAGGAGAGGGTATTTCTATTCAGACCTGTGTGGTGGAAAAGTTCTTGGAGTCCATTATCAATACCAGGCTTGGATAAAGAGAGGGAGTATATAACATGACCACAAGCTGGGAGGGTCTCACCCTAAGGCAGCAGGAGAGTGACTCTGGGCCCCAGCAGCAAGAGTTCGTCTCATCAAAAGCTACAAGTCTAACTAACAAAGTTAGCAGTGGAAAAGTACAACTGTCTTTTGCTCATATCAGCATTGGGACTACTTAGCCTGTGTCCCATCATTATAACATGACGTCTAACGTAAAGTTTGTAATTATCACACCTGTTATGCCAGGCACGGAACTAAAAACTGAGGATACAAAGAAAGGCCCTCCAGGGCCTCGCCATCTGATGAAGAGACAACATGCCAACAGCTATGTGCAAACAAGCTGTATTTTGGGATCAATAGGAAGTAATCAACAGAAGGAAGGCACTAAAATGAAGAGGGATTAGGAAAGGCTTTCTGTGGGAGGTGAGATTTTAGTTGGGATCTAAGGGAAGCCAGGAAGGAGAGAATTCCAGGCATGGAGGCTAGCCATTGAGAATGCCCAAAGCCAAGAGATGGCATGTCTTGTTTGAGGAACAAGGAATCCAGTGTAGACCGAAGTACCTCGTGAACTGTGAAGTCTGAGAAGAAAGGAAGTGGGGTTTAGCTCACAAAGGGCTTTGAATGCCAAACAGAGGATTTTCTATTTGATCTTGGGGATGATGAGGAGATTATGGGAATGACATGGTTGGATTTGTGCTTTAGGAAAATCACTTTGGTAGCTGAATGAAGGATAGACTGGAATGGGGAGAGAACTGTGACAGGCAGATGAACCAGCAGGCTTATTGAAACAGGGGTGAGGAGAGGAGAGTGTGCATGGGGTCTGGGGATGGGTAAGATGGGGGCGGGAATGAGAGAGAGTGAGGAGTCAAGGATGAAAGGTTGAAAACCTGGAGACTGAGAAGATATTAGTGCCCTCAAAAGAGATAGGGAGATTTGGGAGAGAGAAGGGCTTGGGAGTGGAGGCCCGAAATGAGTTCAGTTTTGAACATGTTTAAGATACCTAATAGGCAGTTGGAGAATTGAGACTGGAGTTCAGCAAAAAAGGTGAGTGCTAC